CGCATGCAGCGGGTTAGTGTCCACTCTGCCCTGCGGCTTGGCACGCCCGCGCTCAGGCAAAACCGAAGATGCTTACAAGGATCCCAGCCCAAAACGGAGTGTCTCTGACCGGCAGGGAGGGGCTGACGCTCGCCATGAGGAAGCCCAGCACCGTCACCGCTATGCCCAGTGCCAGCTGCAGCAGCGCCAGCAGCAGCGGGAAGCGGCATCCGCAGCACCGCGCCTGCTCTTCCGCGCGCGCCGGGGCCCCCGCGCCCGCCTTGCGCCCCATGTCCGGGGACCGAGGCTGCCCGGCCTGGCCGGCTGGGCCCGGCTGCTCGGCGGCTGGGAGGCTGCACAAATATGGAAAACTCTCGCGCAGGCCACCCGAGCCGGCCGGGGGGACCCGAGGGGGGACGCGAGGGGGGTCGCCAACTGCCAACGCGCGGGGCCCGGCGCTGCAGGGCTCAGGCCGCCCGGCCCGGCAGACCCGCCTGCAGATGGGCACCAAGCCTCGGGCTTTTCCGCACCCAGAACCCAAGGACTTATTTGCTTTGCTTTTCTGTTTTCTGGGAAGTGAGATGCAAGGTGATGAATGTTAAAATCATTTGGATTTAATTAATAGATAATTGGATCCCAAGTGGGTTTGGTTGCGCTACAACCTGTGAAATCATTGTGAAAAGTTAGTGTCATTTTCCAGCAGAACCGTAGTTGTTCATCTAAATCTGTGATTGAGGAGGGAGGGATGGAGGGATGGAGGGAAGGAAGGCAGGAAGGCAGGCAGGCAGGAAGGCAGGAAGGCAGGCAGGCTGAGCAGTTAAGAGTGCTTTGGCTATTGTGAGGCCCCAAGTTGGTTCCCAGCACCCACGTCCCAAGGTCCAAACCACGTGTAACTCCTGCTCCAGCGAACCCAGTGCTTCTACTTCGGGCACCTGCACATACCACACATTGACACACACATAATTAAAAATAAATTTTAATTTTTAATTTTTTTAAAAAGAAAACAAAAAAGAAGGGAATTTTTCTCATTGAGATGCTTGCCTTTAAAATAATTGCTTCAGGACAGCCAGATGGCTTACCAGGTAAAAGCACTTGCCAAGTAAGCCCGGCTACTTGAGATTGAGCCTGGGAACTCACGGTGGAGAGAAAGACTCCTGAAAGTCGAACAGTCTCTATACCCATGACCCACACCTCACACACACTAATGATAATAATTAAATAAATGAATAATAACTGTTTATAGAGATGCTGGGCTAATTGTGACACCTCTTACCTGTGTTTGTTTTAAAGAGCTTTGTGGGTGTTTTTGTTTGTTTGTGGAGACAGAGGTTCCAGAAGCCCGGGCTGTGTTCCAGCTTGCTATGTAGCCACACATGACCTTGAACTCTTGATCCTCTTGCCCAGTGCAGGTTTACAGGTGTGCACCACCTCACCTAGCTCCTGTTTAGAAGCTCTTATAATGCAGTCAATGCAGTCTCCAGCAGGCCTTCACACATTTGCACAACAGTGCCTAGGGGAAGTGACTGGAGATGGGCAGTTAGACCTAGGCAACATGTAAGGGCTGTTTTTAGCAGCTGCAAAGTGTTAAGACAGATAACCATAGATCTGGTCCCAGCCAGAAGTCAAAGAACAGTCAATAAAGCTGAGTACTGGAGCTCTCTTGTGCCTGCACACTGTAGCGTTTAGAACAATCATCAGCGTGAAGTCAGGGTGATTGAAATGGCCCCCTCCCTTTGGGGGAATTCAGGCCTTCTTTTGTATTTATCTTAACATTCTGAAACTGTTTCAGAAAGAAAAGGTGTTAGGGCAAATAAGTTATGCCTGTTTCTCGGTTGCCCTAGAGCAGCTGAGAGTCTAATTTCCTGCTGTTTCCTCAGAATTGCAAACTGTCAGCAGTTTTAAACTACCAGGTCCCACAAAGAGACTTCCTTAATGAACCTCAGTATTTTCCTTATACCTTCCTTTCAGACCAGAGAGAAAAATATACTCCATAGATCCAAGTCAGTAACTTAGAAGGTGGAATCCAAGCCACACATTCCATTTCTACCCAGGATGGCCAGATAGGTGATCCCAAGGATACAGCGTAGCCAAGAAAGGCCATCCTCAGTTTGGGGGCCATTGAATCATCAATGGGTTTCTGGTATGAACAGATACCCATTGACTTAAGAACAGCTCAAGAGATAAACGACAACACTTGGTTTTTCTGTGTAAATCGAATAAACATTACAGTAAACAAGCTGACTACCTGTCATTAGTTGTTGGTTCTTATTAATAATATAGCGCCAGCTGGGCCTGGTGGCACAGATCTGTATTTCAGCCACTCTAGAGATTGAGGTAGATACTGTTACAAGTTCAAGTTCAGTGAGTTCAAGGCCAGTCTAGTCAACTTAGTGAGACCCTGTCTCAAAAAGAAAGGGAAAAGAGGTCTGGGAATATAGCTCAGAGGTAGAAGACTTGCCTAGCATAAGCAAGGCCCTGAGTTCAGTCCCTAGTGTGACACGCGCACACAGAAAAAGGATATAGCTACTGGGCTGGAGAGATGGCTCAGCAGTGAAGAATACTGTTGACCTGGGTTCGAATCCCAGCACCCACATGGCAGCTAACAACTAACTGTAACTCCAGTTCCAGGGTATCCGACAGCCTCTTCTGTCTTCCTCGGGCACTGCACGGCATGGGTGCATTTATCTACATGCAAGCAATACATGCATACTCATGAAATAAAAATAATAAAGTTAAAAGAAAAGACTATAGCTTCCGATTACTGAGTAGCCATTCTGTAATTAGCACGTGCTCAAGGCTGTGCATAATTAGTCCCTTACAACCATCATATCATTTCCATTGTGAATGATGAAAATAGCTGAATCATGGGGCTGGAGAGGTGGCTCAGAAGGAGCACAAATGACTTAGTTATTTGTTGTTTTTATTTTACGTGTGTGAGTGTATTGCCTGCATGTGTATAAGTGTACCCGCGTCCTGCAGTGCCTGTGGAGGTCAGAAGAAGGTGTCAGATTACCTTGGAACTGGAATTGTTAGCCACCATTTGGGTTCTGGGAATCAAACCCAGTCCTTTGCAAGAGCAGTCAATGCTCTTAACCACTGAGCCAACACTCTCCCCCTGATTTGTTTATATTTCTGCATGGAAGTTTGTATTTTTTGAATTACATGTCCTATAAGCAATTTTCTTTACAATCAATGGAGGGTTTGTGACATTCTGATTCTATAGAAACTCTGTAGGAATAACAGTAGCATCACACATTTTACCTGTTCACAAGATGCAACTTACATTTAGCACATCAGAATTTTCAGCATGTAATTTTGAACACGTAATTTTGATGTTTCCCCTACACACAGTAAAGCAGAAATCACCAAATTTTACTTCAAGTAAGAAACACTTGGAAAAGAACAGATAAACTACAGTGAAACACGGCATTTGGATAAGAAAAGGAATAAACTGCTGATACAGTTAATGTTTGGGATGAATCTCGTAAGTTCTGTATTGAATGAAAGAAACTGGGTGCAAAATGGCGCACACTTTACAATCCCACATGCACGTTGTTTAAACGGCAAAATGAACCTGTAGTCACAGAATTTAAAAAGTGATGGTGCCGTGGGGATGGATTGTGAGAAAGGTCCAGAGGGACCTTCTGGGCAGTGGAAGTGGGTGTTCTACACCTTAGGGGATCACAGTTGTCAGAATGGATTGAAACTCACTTAAGATCCATTCATGTTTTTTATATTTAGCAGCACACTCATTTTTTTTAAAATGTAGTAAAAAGAGAAACATGGGGAGTTGCTGGATATCCAACAGTACAAATTGGGGTGGGTTGGTTGGTAAATTTAGATTATCTTACCAAACGCCTATGTTCTGCCCTGTTCTCTGGCCCCCCTGAATTTGAACTGTCCATTGTGTGTGCTTTACCACAAATCACTCTAGCATGTAGACTGGTTTGAAACAATAATTATTATTTCATGGTTTCTCTGAGTCAAATATTCAATCAATGCCCCAAAGGGATGGGTTGTTACTTCCTGTTATCTGGAGTTCTAGAATCGTCTGAAGACCCACTGCAGGGAGAGGCTGTCTCCAAGGTCGCTCATCCACGCACTTGGCTGCATGGTGTCTCTCCATGGTTCCTTAAGTATCCCACCAACGTGGCCGCTGGCTTCAGCTAGAAGCAGAGTGGAGACCCAGGAGCACGGCACAGAGCCGTCCTTTGCAGGATACACCCCCAGAAGGTGCTCAGTACCACAGGAACCACATTCTAATCTTCAGAAATGAGTCACTAAGTCTAGTCCCACAATCAGGAAGAAGAATCAAGATCAGTCCTTTGAAGGGAACCCTCTCAGAGACACACAGAGCATCACAGAGTCACTAAGATCAGCATATCCTTCCCTCCTGGCTTCATGACTGAATCCCTTTGCTGATTTCCTGGTGGTATTTCCCAGTAAAAGAATTTGTGGAGACATTCTAATCTTCAGAAATGAGTCACTAAGTCTAGTCCCACAATCAGGAAGAAGAATCAAGATCAGTCCTTTGAAGGGAACACTCTCAGAGACACACAGAGCATCACAGAGTCACTAAGATCAGCATATCCTTCCCTCCTGGCTTCATGACTGAATCCCTTTGCTGATTTCCTGGTGGTATTTCCCAGTAAAAGAATTTGTGGAGATATTTCTCTCTGAAGAGAAAGAGGCAGAAAAAATAACCTGTGATGAAAAGGATCGGATGAAGAGTATAAAAGCCCAAAGCTGAAGTGAAAAGTGTCTGCTGTGATTTGGAGCTTAACGTCCCTTAAAGTTCCATGTGCCAAAGAGCCAAAGGCATAGTCACCAGCCTCAGACTTTAGGAAGTGGTGGGGTGATATGTTTGTGTGTGTGTGTGTGTGTGTGTGTGTGTGTGTATATCTCACAGTCTCAATATTTTATT